CTCCCCGCCCAGTCCCCACTGGCCTCCCCTGCCCTGGCAAGAAGCTAGCCTCAGCCTGGGCTCCGGCCTGGTCGCCCCGCACCCCATGACCCTTGGCAGGCCCTCAACCTCTCCCAGCCTGCTCTCCTCGTTCCCACTTCCTAATTCTGATAAAAACTCTTCTGCCTGGAAGTGCTTCACCCAGTGGCCACCTAGCTGAGCCCTCCCTCAGCTCCTTCCTGCCTCTGCCCAGAGGCCACCTTCTCTGTGAGCCCCCCACCTGCCCTCTTGGGACTTTAGCTCCTGGAGGAAGGGTTTTCTGTCTGTTTTGTTCTTCACTGGATCTCTGCATCTGGCAGTCCCTGAAGTGGTCCTGGCGTGGAACAAACCTCGTTAAATGTGTTGACCAAACAGTTATGTTTTGTAAAGTTCACTGTCCACCTTGAGGCTCTCAGGAAATATTTGTGATGTTTGTGGACTGACTGAAGGAAGGAAATGAGTTCCCAGGTCAGCAGCAGGCTCACAAACTTGATGATAGGCCCAGTTCGGGGGCCTGTCCAACCCCATGCCCCCAGAAAGGGGGGCTGCTCGTACAGAGTGTGTGGTGCAGCTAAGGAAACCAGAGGAGCCTCTCTCAGTCGAAACTGGGAGAAGGCATTCGAGGGAGAGGGCATCAGGAGTGGCTACTCCCAGACCCTGGTTTATAAGGCAGAGAAGGATGTGGGCTGGGCCATCTGCATTTCATGCTCTCATTTTGGGGGCCCATGTGTGTTAAAAAGAGAGAGGGGGAACAAGGAGGGCATTCTAAGTTAGGAGAGAATTTCTCACACGTGGGATTTATGCCTCCTCTGGGGGTGGTAGGGCCTGTGGCTCTGGGTTCCTGAAGCCCTTCCCTGGCCATTGCCGGGCAGGTCCAACTGAGAGCCTCCCCACTCCTAGGGCCAGGCTTCAGGCCTCAGGTCTCGGGCCATGCCTCCAGGAAATAACTTTGATGGTGCCACTCTCCTGCATCCGGGTCTTTGGGACTTCCTGCCACATACAAGGCCTCTGGTGCCCCAGCCCTCCCCCCAGTACCCCCCCTTCCCTGAGCCTGCCTCCTCCCTGGAGCTCGCACAGCCCTTCTCCTGCCACCTCCTTACTGGCTCCTGGTAACATCCCTGTGTTCTGAAGCCCCAGCTCCTACGTGCTCACCAAACTTCCTTGTTCCCCACCCCCTCCATGCTGAGCACTTGTGTCCCTGCTCCCCAGGCCCCACCCGCCAGCAGAGGGAAGGCCTGTGGAACGAGGGACTCGGTCCCACAAGCCTTCTTGCCTCCTCTCCCATTGCTGCCCACCAGTGGCCCCCAGACCTCCTCAGCCAGGCCCGCTGTTGCTGACTAAGGAAGTCCCAGCTTTCGTAGGCCTGTGTCCATCTTACTAGCCTCACCCCAAGCCCCACCACCAGGAGTCTTGGTGATGGCTCCTTTGGGTCAGGAACCGGGCGGTGCTGACCCCCACCACCTCCCATGCCTGGGTCTGCACAGCCCCCCAAGAAACCCTCTCCCTTCTCCGGGGCCCGCGTGTAGCCCCTGATGCCCGAGTCCACTTCTGCTACCATCTCTGCTGACGGACCGTCTTCAGGCCGAAGCCTCCACTTGCCCCCACAGTGACCCCCACTGGACAACAACCAGTGGGTTGTTCAGACTGCCCTTGAACCTCTGAAGGAGACTTTTCTGTTCTGACCCTCCCTGTCCTGCCAGAGTGGCATCCGTGGGAGAGGCGTGTGTGGTGCCCGGCTTCTGTGGCAGAGCGAACCCCTCTGAGTGCTTCCTTCGGCCCCTGCAGGCTGCTGACCTTGATGCTGTGAGGGAGGCCTGGGCTCTTCCTGGCCCAGAGAGTCAGCAGTCACTACCCCCTCAACATCAAATGCCAAGATCAAAAGGGCAGGGGACACAGAAGTCCTGGGAAGAGCTGGGACTATTATTTTCCCGCTTGCAAATTATACCTATGACAAGTAGTTTAAAATAGCTGGAGGCCTCCGTGGTGGGGGAGGGGAGGTGTGAGAGAGGGCTGGACTGCTGGGAAGGGGAGGGGTGGGGGCCGTCAGCTTCCTTAGGCAAGGGGCGGGGCGGGGCAGGAGGGAGGGGACTAGCTCCGTGGTGTGCGCCCCTCACTTCCTGGATTCCCCCAAATAGCCTCAGTTTAAAATATTTTGACTCGGTTGTCATTTCACCAAAAAAACAAAAGACATTCCAAAGCAGAATCCTGATCTTCGGAAAATATAGGTCCTCACACCAACTGGGGAACGCAAGGGGAGCTCTGTATCTGGTGCTCTTGGAGGTCCAGGACCCCAGATCATGCACCAGAGGAAGGTGGCGGCGGTCAGGAGCCAGCGCGCCGGTTCTGAGATCGGCTGGGCACGCAGCTTCAGACCCAAAGCCCCAGATTCTGCCCTGGTGCGTAGATCCACGCAGGAGGTCCCACTTCACCGCCTCTGCAGGGAGAGGAAGGGGCGGCCTCAACTGCCCCCTGCTGGCCACAGCCAGACCAGCAACGTAGGGCAGTGACCATGGCTGACTCCCCTCCAAACTGCCCCCAACCCTGAATTGTCAACTGGTTGGGGGCAAAAAAAGCAGCAGACCATGGGGCACCAGACTTGCTGCTTAAAACTGAAGTCCTAGGGCAGGTGGGGGTATAGCTCAGTGCATACCTCCATTGAAAAAAAAAAAAACCAGCTCCTGGAGTAACGGAAATAAAAGCAAAAATAAACAAAATGGGATCTAATTAAACTTAAAAGCTTTTGCACAGCTAAGGATACCATCAGTAAAACGAAAAGACAACCTACAGAATGAGAGAAAATATTTGCAAATGATGCGACCAACAAGGGACTAATTTCCAAAATACACAGACAGCTCATACACCTTAATATCAAAAAAACAAGCAATCCTATCAAAAAATGGTCAAAAAGCCTAAATAGACATCTCTTCAAAGATAGACAGATGACCAACAAGCACTTGAAAAGATGCTCAATATCACTAATTGTTAGAGAAATGCAAATCAAAAACGACAATGAGGTATCACCTCACACCAGTCAGAATGGTCATCATTAAAAAGTCTACAAACTATAAATGCTGGAGAGGGTGTGGAGAAAAAGGAACCCTCCTACACTGTTGGTGGGAATGAAATTGGTGCAACCACTATAGAGGACAGTATGGAGGTTCCTTAAAAAACTAAAAATAGACTTACCATGTGATCCAGCAATCCCACACCTGGGCATATACCCAGAGAAAAATATAATTCAAAAAGACACATGCACCCCAGTGTTCACAGCAACACTATTTACAATAGCCAAGACATGGAAACAACCCAAATGTTCATCAATAGATGACTGGATAAAGAAGACACGGTATGCATATACAATGGAATACTAGTCAGCCATAAAAAAGAATAAAATAATGCCATTTGCAGCAACATGGATGGAACTGGGTATTGTTGTTCTAAGCGAAGTAAGCCAGAAAGAGAAAGAAAAATGCCATATGATACCATTTACTTGTGGAATCTAGGAAAAAGATGCAAATGAACTTATCTGCAAAACAGAAAGAGATTCACAGACATAGAGAACAAACTTATGGTTACCAGGGGGTAAAGGGGGTGAAAGGGAAAATTGGGAATTCAAAATTTGCACCTCTTGGGGAGTGATGGAAATGTTCGCTATTTTGTGTGGTAGTGGTTTCATTGGTGTATACATTTATTAAAATTCATCAACTTGTACATTTAAAATACGTGTAATTTACTGTACAGGAACCATACTACAATAAAGGTGTTAAAAAGAAAAAAAGCTGAAGTCCTGATCCAGGGTGGTCCCAACACCCCAGTTCTGGGTGGTGTTGGGTAACCTGATTGCCTTCTCCGAAGTGGGCTGATGTGGGCAGGGAGAAAGTGCCAGGTGACGCCAAAGCATCCTCTGGCTTGGAAGAAAGAGGAGCAGTGAGAATCCGTCAGGAGGTCTGCACTTCCTTGGCTCAGGGCTTTCAGTGCTCATCGTCACAGCCAGGCTTTGCTTGGCTCCCCTGCCCTGCCCCCTTGCCTTCTCACTTGGCTCCACTTGTCTCTATCCTAGAACCTTTCAGGCCCCCTCCTCCAGGAAGCCTTCCTTGATCACTCACTTGCAGATGTGTGCAGAGCACTGTGTTCTGCCTTTGTGGGTGATGAGCATCATATTTCCCTCACTAGCCAGAAGAAGTAGGTCTTACCATCCCCATTTTAGAGATGAGGAAATGGAGGCCCAGAAAGGGGATCTAATTTGCCTAAGGCTCACAGCAGGGATGGAGGAGAGTTAAACAATGAGTAGAGTCTTAGCCCTCCCGGAGTGACCGGGTGACCAGCCTGTTCCCAGGGGAACATTGACTTCCAGTCTCCTGGGCCAGGGCAAAGGGAATGTGGGCTGGGGTGTGTTGGGAAGCCAAGCTAGGGAGGCAGTTGGAGAGTGTGAGGAAAGGCCAGAGAAGGGAGATTGCAGGGTGCATTCTAGAAACCAGTGGAGCCAGTGTGCCTGGTGGGCAGGGACCAATCCAGGACTTGTGTGGCCTGAAGCTTAAATAAATGTAGGGGCCTCCTTTAAAAAAATAATTATTTAAGTCCTACTTTTTCAAATTTTACAAAACCATTGAACACACTGCTAGGCTCTCCCAGGGACTTGGAAGGAGCTCCTGCAAAGTGAGAGGGCGATGAAGCTGGAATTTCATTCATTCCAGTGACTCAGCCTTTGGGCAGGCCCCCGTCTGTGCGCAGAGGATTGGGGAGGGAGGCCTGGAGTTCAGGCTGCTGCCCTCACTGCCCCATTAGACATTGCTGACCACCCTCTGGGAGCCTGGATTTGGGCCAGTGCTGCCTCACAGGGATGCATAAACCAGGGCCCCGACCTTAGGGTGGCTGTGGAAGAGGCAGTGGGAAAACATCCGCTTCACAGTCCAGGAAGCTGACTCTGAGCGGACCTTCCAGCAGCTACCTTGCTGGCCGTGCAGAGCCAGGTTCCCCACCAGGATCTGGTTCCCAGCGGGGCTCCCTCACCCGGCCCCTTTGACAAGCACCCAAGGGTGCCTGGAATTGGGATCACAGGCCCCAGGCCTTCATGGAACTGAGTGGCTTCCCCATCTTTGCAGCTGCAGGTCCTCCTCCAGGACACAAGGGGTGGTTTCCAGGGCTTGGCCTGTCTCTCGCCTGGAGCCCCAGGCTTGGCCAGCAGTCTGAGCAGTGGAGCCAGGAAGGCTGAACTAAGTCCAAGGGGAGGGGGCAGGTAGTGGGGAATGACACACAAGGAGATGGTCTGAGTGGGCAGTGCCCCCTTCTGTCCCTCTGCCAGGCTGGGTGGGCACAGGAGAGCACGAGGGCCATTCTGTGGAGGACAGCCCTCTGACCACGGAAATGCTGTGCACATGCGGGGCTGGGGAGACATGTCCTGAATTTCTGGACAGGCAGCTGCTCCGGCTCACTCAGCCGCCAGGTCACAGCTCAGGGAGGCCTGTTTAGAGACGGGCAGAGAGGAGGCAGCAGCACTGGCCGGGAGCACAGAGCAGGGGAGGCCGCGGCAGGAAGGGTGGCAGGGTTGGCAGAATGAGGCCCCCCAAGATGTCTGTGTCCAACCCCGGCAGAGCCTGTGGATGTTAGGTCACATGACTAGGGGAATTAACATTGCTAATCAGCTGACTTTAATAAGGAAATCATCCTAGATTATCTGCCTTGGCGCTGTGTAATCCCAAGGAAGAGGAAGGCAGAGACTCAGAGAAGAAGCGAGAGGGAAGGGCAGACAGTGTGCTGCAAGGACCCTTCACTGGCTCTGAAGATCAAGGAAGGGGCCACAAGCCAAGGAAATGGATTCTCCCCCAGAGCCTCCAGAGGAATGCAACCCTGCTGACACCTTGACCTCAGCCCAGTGAGACTCATTTCAGACCCTGATGTCCAGAACTGTCAGATCAGGAATGCAGGTCGTAGTCATTTGCTATGGTGGTCCTAGTGAACTGCCATGGGTGGCGAGGGCAGACGGGCCTGATGCGAGGAAGGGCCCCAGGCCTGCCAGGCCCGGGCAGTGGGTGCCCCCTGCCCCACCAGAGAGCATGTCTGTGCCGTCGGCAGCGCCTGGCCTCTCAGGTGGATCCAGTTCTCCCGCCCAGCTTTCCGGGTACAGAACTTCTAGAGATGATGAAAAGAGCTAACACCTACTGAGTGCCTAGTCAACGCCAGACCGTAAAGCATCCCAGCGACCCTGGGAGGTGGGTACTATTATTATTCCCATCTTGAAGGTCAAGAAGTAGAGGCTCAAGGTTGGTGTCTCACATAAGTGCCCACGATCGTGGCATCCTGCTGCTTTCACCAGGGGAGGACCCCGTCCCTGTCACCAGTGCCCAAGGGGCGGGGCCCTAATCCTGGGACCTATTATCAGGACACATGGCTTGCTCCTTTCAGCTCCTGAAATGTTCAGAGTGAACCCCAACTCCCCTCTAGAGCTTTCCATCCAGGGCCAAAGCCCGCAGTTATCACTGCTGCTTCCTGTGGGGCTCCTGGTGCTCCGAAGGGTGGGTCTGATGCCTTCCTGCCCCCAACAGGGCCTGTGGGAAACAGATGGCCTCCTGGCCAGGCCCAGGGCACGAGATCTCAGGGCTGGCAGGAGAATCACCCAGGCTTTCTTGGTTCTCTGGCCTCCCTCCTGAGGCACTGGTGTCCAGACTGGGCCCTGGGCCCCAACCCCAGGGCATGTGGAGGAAACTGGTAGCACAGGGTCCAACAGCCCAGACCAGTTAGGTTCGAGGGAGAGGAACAAAGGCTCTACCCCACCCACTTCCAGCTCCTTGTACCCCTGTCTCCCTGCAGAGCCACCCCTTGGTTCCCACTGTGAACCTCAAAACCCCTCCTGGACCTTCCTGCTCTGGGAATCCCTGACTAACCACCAAGACTGAAAAACTTCATCTGGGTTCTTGTCTAGCTTGGCAAGCCCGGTGGGCTGCATCCCTTGATGCGTATTTAATAAAAAGCAAACACACAGCCTACAGTCGACCCCCAGGCTGTAAGGAACACACTCTTATTATTTCATATCATAAACCACCCCAAAGTTTGCTGGAAACTGATTTTATTAATAATAAGTCACATGATACAAAAGAATAAGAATATTCAAAAGGCATTTAGTAAAATACTGCTTTGTCCCAAAGAGCAGGCAGAAAAGGTTAAGGCACAATGGATGCTTAGAGAAAAGGAAAAAGAGGCTGAAGAGTCAACAAGTAATCTGTGTACGTGGATGGACAAACACACACACACACACTCCCTCAGGCCCCTTAACCCACCAGACAAGAATTCACCTGACATCAAAACAGTGAGTGGGATGACAGAGCCAGAGGGCTGGGAGCCAGTGAGGTTGAGGGACTCCAGGAGAGACAGGATGTCCTCTGGCTGGGACACTCCAGAAGACTGGAGACACCTATTTATTATGACAAAAAACAAAGTCCCTGCTGCCAGAAGGCAAGCCCACCTCAAAACATCTGGAGTGTTCAAGGGTCACCAGAGGGAGGAGGAGGTGAGGGAACTTGACATCTGGAGACAAGAGGTTCGCATTTCTTCTCCCACATTCCCCGATCGGAAGGAAAGACAAAGCAAAGCCTGTGCTGAGCTGGCCCTGCCTCTCTCTTGTGGAAAGTCCCGGGAAGTGCCCACAAGAGCCAGGGACCCACCATGGAGGAGCCTGAGGGCTGGCAGGCCCTCTTCCAGGCTAGCTCTTCTGGGAAGAGGAGGAGGGTGCAGCTGGGGAAGAGCCACACCCCAGCCACATCCAGCCTCCCTACAAGGTCCCAGGGAAAAGAGGAGACCACTCCTGTCACTCGCTCGTGCCTGGGCCGGCCCCCAGGGTCAGGCCAGGCGAAACCTTGGTGCCATCTGGGAAGGAGAGTCAGCAGCTCCGAGGTCAGTAGGGGCATTCTCTTGAGTTGCCCCAGAGGTCACAGGCTTCATGGAACCAAAGCAGGTGAAAAAAGATCAAAACTAAAACCTGAAGGCCAAAGGGGCTTGGGATCTTCTCAGGGTATGGAGTATGGATCTGCTGGGCTTGCTGGTCCAAGGGACAGCCACCACCCAGCACAGTGACATTACCAAAGATTAACAAGCATACTTTCCTTCTGGACAGAATCTCTCCTGCCTGCAAGAGAGGCCTGAGTGAGGGGCATGGGAGGCCCTCCAGATCCAGCCAGCCAGGGAGGGCTTGGTGGGGGCTCGCCTTCTCTGTTTCTTGTGTGGTTCAACCCAGGGAGGCCCCTTCCTGCTCCCTACAGGGCCACGTCCCAGCCTGCCGGCGTGGGCTGGCATGCGGCAGAAGGAATGCGGGGACGTGGTCACCAAAGTCCCAGGAAAAGACCAAAGACACACTATTCCTGAGCGTCCCGAGCCCTGTTCCTCAGCCACCTGCGGCCACTGGGGACTTCTGAGCAGGGGATACTGTCCATCTTGAGAGGGGCACAAAGGTGAGTCCCTGGGTGGCAGGAGCTGAGTCAGACTGGTCCTGAGACAGCAGTGGGGCGCAGAGTCCAGGGGGAAGGCAGGCAGGCTGTAAGAGGGACCAGCGGCAGCCCCCAGCCAGCGCTGCACGGCCCAGCCTGGGTAGCGCCCCAGGCACAGACGTCACCTCTCCACACACTGAGGCATCCTTCCCCAGCAACACTGCCCACTAGGGAGGATGGTGCTGGGCCAGGGCCGGGGCTTCCCCTGTGCCCTCCTGCCTGGCACAGCTGCCCTCAGCCCTGCTCCAGGCTGTCTGTGGGCCGCACCACGGTGTAGCTCCCCTGGCTCAGGGAGAGCTGCCGGCTGAAGAAGGACGTGGTGCGCTTGGGTTTCACCCGTTTGATCTGCTCGCCTGTCAGGGAACAAAAGTGATGCACTGAGGGGAGGGCCCCCCACGAGGGACCAGCCCCAGGGGGAGCTGCCCCCTCCACTCCTGACAACTTTGTGAGCCTCAGTCCCCTCTCCAAGTCTTCCACCAGTGACAGGATGAGTGTGGCATGTGGCCAGCCTCCCAAATCGGAGGTGGTCAGGGTCTGTGTTTGATATTGGGCCTACTGCAGTGTCCAAATCTGTTCAGGAAGAGCCCAGAGAGGTACAAACTTCCAGCTATAAAATGAGTCACGGGGATGTAACATACAGCATTGGGAACGTGGTCGATAATATTGCAGTAACCCTGGATGGTGACAGATGGTAGCCAGATATCCTGGCGATCATTTTGGAACATATAAAAATATTAAATCACTATGTTGATGTGTCCAGTCACTATATATATTACAATGTATAAGATATTGTGTGTCAACTATAATTCAATTAAAAAAAAAAAGAGCAGACTGAAACCACAAAAATACCTGTAACATGGACTACTGGCTAAAGGTGAGCCTCAGTGAGGTAAAAAGAGTTCTTTTGAGTTAAAAATTTCAAGCCACGTGATCAAGGTCAAAATCAACAGTCATAAATCATGTTGATAATGCACCTCTGATATGAGGTGATAAAAATGGAACTTTACTTCTGTGACCTTCCTCACAAAGACCCACAGTCCCATCTAAAAATGAGAAAAATGTTAAGACAAATTCCAATAAAGGGGCATCCTACAATACCGTGGGCCAGTGTTCCTCAAGACTGTCAAGGTCGTCAAAAACAAGGAAAGTCTGAGAAACTGTCACAGCCAGGAGGAGCCTAAGAAGACAGGACAACGACATGTAGTGTGGTGTCCTGGATGGGACCCTGGGACTGGAAACGGATGTTTGGTTAAAACTAAGGATGTTAGTTAATAACACTGTGTCACACTGGTTCATTAATTATAACAAGTATACCATATTTATGTAAGATGTTAATTTAAAAACTCAAGCTACAAAAGAAAAACAGGCGACAGAAAAGAATAGTAACACGTGAAGAAACTATAAGTGATCAAGCATGTAAAAATGGTCCAGCTTCACCAGTATCCAAACACCAACTGAAACAAATTCTCTCTCATCGTGGGTGAGGGTGCGGAAGGAAAGTGCCTTCTTCTCTCCTGGGAGGGGTAGGGTGGGCACACCCTTTGACCCAGCAACCCCATTTCTAGGGATTTATTT